GGAATGCCGGTGTATATCTATTGACTTGGACTAAACTGAGAAAACTATGGTACCGATTGCACTCTGACTGTAGGCAGTCATGGCCAGCATGAGAGTGAGGGGCATGAACTAGCATACCTTTGAGGCAGGACAAAATTGTGAATAACCTAAATAAAGAAAAAAAACCCAACCAGCCAAAAGCAAAGAAAAAAAACTTATGTAAGGGAAAGGCACATGTGTACGTTTGTGTGTAAGACAGAAAATATATGCGTACAAGCAAATCTGTGAGTGTTCACTAAGACAAAATATTTAACAGAGGTACGAAATACTAAGGAAAATCTATTTACCCGCAATCATAAATTAGGTTTCCTAGTTATATTCACATTTTTGCCACTTGCTGGGAAGTGGAGCTGTGGCTTTTGCTAATGTTCACCTGCTGTGCTATTTGCTTTTACTGTATTAAGAGAAACATCAAAGTGAGAGGACAATACATTTGAAAGCATGAACATATTCTTAAATATGAAGTAGGCAAAAAGCAGTTCAAAGTGTAGCAAAACCATCACGGAAAATAGTAGCTGTATCAAGAGTTTGTAACATACTTCTTAAAAAAAATAACTGTAACCCAAAAGCCATGTCTGGAGAACAATAGGGGCACATGGGAGTGTTGAAAACTCAATATAGGTGGATGGAAAACAGAGCTACAGCAAGTTAGAAAGCAAAAGGCCAAAGCAAGTAGACGGGAGGAGTACAAAAGGGAGTAGAAAAATGAAAGATACATAAGTAGGAAGACACAGAGAAAGAGATATTGTCTTCTGTTTACGTTTTGCTTTAATTTATATACCTAATCATATATTACATAAATTAAAGAGAAACTATATACAAGGCTATAAATATACTTCTGAATTCTGATGGTTCTCTAAGTCAATCAAAATCCATTCTTGTGCCACTAGATCAATTTCATCTCTTGTATTTCTGATATCAGTTATTCTTCATATCTACATATATATATATGTATATGCAATATCTTTTAGCCATTGGTATCTATGCATACATACAGTGAGAATGCACACTCCATTGTGTGTATCGGAAGTCTCTCCCTCTATTTTTCACACACATACATAAAAAACATACGTAACCACAGCACAAAAATCTTGCTAACCATGATCAAGTACAGAATGGCAGTAATTTAGCACATGAAGAGCAAAGCAAAAATTAAAACAAGCATCATGTGACGGCAAAAGCAATAACCACACAAGAGACAAAAGACACGACATTCATGACTAGTAAACATTGCATTGTTATTGTTATTTTAGCTTTGCCACAGGCATGCAGTTTGTTGAAAAAAAAGATGCAGAACTTTGCCAGCAATAATCCTCTTTTTATATCTTTTACCACAAACTTGCATTTAAACTGGATTTGGACTAAGTAAAGAGAATTTCCTGAAAATTAAGGGCTAACTGCCCCTCTCCTTTGTGGGGAAAGAACATAAAAGGGGACATGCTACTTCCAACAGCTTGATGAACCTCACCTGTGAGGGTATCCTGCTGTATTTTTCCTTCATGATTAGGAGCTTAATCTTAATCAGGGTTGTGGGTTTTGACAAGGGCACAGAAGGTCCTGCAAAAGAAGTTGGTTTAACTAAGCGGACCTTGAGCCTTTGGACCTCAGGGGCAGCCCTTCCATGCATGTTGCCCTTGCTTTCCTGGCGGTCTGATGGGAAGCCTGGGGGTTGTCTCATTGCATTTCATACCACATGGTGTGCAAACATCTCCATGCTGTCCTGGGTTATAGCTTTGCAGGGGCGCTTTCCAACTGAGTGGTGAAGAGATGACTGGGTGCCTCACACCCTCCTGCCCATGCCATTGCCTTCAGGGCCCTGACAGCTGATCCTGTACAGTGGGGTGCCAAGGGAAAATATGTTCCTGCACCAGAGTCAGTACTGGGCTTGGAAGCAACCGAGACCTCACTGATGTGAGTGAATTTGGGGCTAGGTCCACAACAATTGTATGATGAGGTTTGGATAGTCCAGGACTTGGTTTCCCCATTCAGCAGCAATACTCTCTAGCATCCACTATCAGTGGATAGCTGCTGTCTCACACTGGATGCCTATCTCAGCCACAAGGTGTTTATCTTGACAGCATTTCTGTCCACTGAATGCTGAGGAAGACAATTCAGCTCTTACTGACATTTCCAAAGGAAAAAGTATACAGTGGCATGTAACAGATACATCCAGTGTGCAGTGATCATATTTGATGCCCCAGCTGTTACACAGTGCATCACAAAGTTATTGGTGATATCCTGCATCTCTGCAAATACATTTTTATTGTAAAATCCACTGCTCTGAGGTCTGCATTTGTAAGATTTAGATATTGCAACTTGTTGATTGGTATTATTAAAATGCATTTCATCCGGTGTACTGTCTCTCAGCAGGTTTGAAACATTTCTTCATGGATTTTAAAATCCATTTTTAAAATCTGGAATTACAGGAGATAGATTTCCACTGTGTGGAATGTGAATAGTTAAACAGAAAGATATGGATATTTAATGTTATTTTTATTACAAATCTTCTTTCACCGATAATAGGCAGGGGTTGTTTTTCTTCAAATTACTTTTTTTGAGTTGGTTTGCAGTGGAAAGGGCCAATCTCAGTCGTTGCTGAAAGTTTTGTATTATCTAGGGCTTCTGTTCAAGAAATGGGCACACCTCAAGAATGATTTAATTTTTTTTTTCATGTGGAGTTTACAGCAAAACTCTCATTGTCTTCTACAGTGACTGCTATGTCCTTAAACCCTTAGCCGTTAAGCAAAGCTTCAGACATTACTGACTCCTTTATTTAAGATTAGGTTAGTATTCTGAAAGAAAACTGATAGAAGTTTTACAAATCTTCGTGTTCCAAAACAGTCTGTACATAGATCATGATGGAACTCCTCTTGAGGCAGATCCCCCCTGCCTCAAATATGTAAATTTTATACAAAGAACTTTTATGAATTGCTAGTTATTGCCTGAGAGTAAGAAAGTTCTGCTAACATACAATTATACAAGATATTTAATATCAACCACAATATGTATTTAAATGTCTGCTTTATTCTAAAAACAATGGACTATATAACCTAAGGCTGCAGTATTTTCATGCTCGGTCTCACAAAGCAAAACTTGGTTTAAAATGAAGTTTTAATTATTTTGTAACTGAATAGAATTGGAGTTTTTTCTTCCCAGCATTTTGTACGTCATTTTAACTACTAGTAACAAATAAATAAAATATCTTCTCTAGCCCATGTCTATTGTTTTTTTTATTTTTTTTTATTTCTTCCTTAAGTTTCCAGCTCTTTCTGGATTTGTTGTCCTTTACTCTGACTTCTGTGGTTTTTTCTAATTATAAAAGGGCTTACATTATGACAATGAGAGACAGAGACAAGCAATGGCACCATCATTCAACACGGCTAGTTCAATAAGATTTTTTAATTAGATCTGTCACTTCCCCCTCACCCTTCCACAATTTATAGAAGGAAAATTGCAATCTTTACTCACAATTTTCCCCTTGTAAACCGTATAGTGACAGTTCAAAATATAAATCAGCCTTGAATTGCTGAAGAGTTCAAGTTGAAGTTGGCATGCCTGCCTTACACCTTACCTCAGTTTTACATCTAGCTAGCAGTTTATTCCCACTTTAGAAAAAAAAGAGTAAGGAACACCTTTACAATACAGCACGTACAAGCTGTAAATAAGGACAAAGACAAAAAGTAATTACAAAAGAGAACAGGAAGAAATGTAACTTCCTTTTACCTTCTCTGTCCCTGCTAGCAGGACTTGAGTAAGGCCAGTGCTGAGGAAGGACTGCAACCATGGAGAACAGGTTTCTTCAGACTTTCTAAACTGCTGCTGGGAGATGGGTTGTAACGGTGTAAGTTTTGCCTTTGCAACCTGCCACTGTGTCAGATGCGTGTGGGACTGGGTTAGTCATTGCAGACCCCCGTACAATCCTGCTGTCAGCAAGTAGCAGTAGCATTGGCGGCCCTCGTGGGGAATGTGCCTCTGGCTGGGATCACCATCTCTCTGGCCCTATCTGGGAATGGTCTCTGATTTTGTATGAGACTGAGCAGTTATATAGGCCTATTTCAGATGTACACCTTTTTGTTCAAAGGACTGGCAATGACACAGTAAAGAGATGGAATCTGAAGAGTGAACAACACAGTGGTTTCCTGTAGCACACACAGATAACCAGGGAAAAATGTTAGATGTCTCATTTCCAGCTCTGAAAAGCTTGGTGCAGGTAAGATCCAGTTGTGGTTTTCCTTCATGCAAAACCCATATGCAATAGTGGAGCTGAGCAGTCTAGCACTCATGTTTGCCTGGGTTTCTTTAAGGCTTTTTGGCTTAGTCTTACTTCTCTTCTAGATTGTTTTCTTTTCGTGCGTGTTTCTAAAACTTACAGAAAGACTAATAACATTAAAATAATTATTCCTAAAAGGCAACTGTCTTCTTATGGTGTGAGATATAGGCAAAGTTAGACAGAATAATTTTCCTTGAAACACTGTTCACATATATCTTTATTAAAATATTTAAAACAGAGATAAAAACCTCCTGGACTTACCTTTCTAGTACCCTGTAGTACCCTGGTCTTGTTATTTATATACTAACAAGCTCAGACACACATTATAATATGCTTTTGGCCTACACACCAGCTTTGAATTGAAGATACATCTACTATGAAGTCCCATGTGCTTTATCGATACTTACGCTGATCAAAAGGAGATAACAGAGAATTCACACACTTTAATGAGCTTTCAGGGACACAGGTAGAAATAAGACTACATTTTTTCCTCTCCCCAGTGAGATAGGCTAGATTTCTGCTTGGGATTTCTGTGTGTGCTCTGTCATCCACGTGCTGCGCAGTTGATTCACACACACGTTATAGGACCAAGGCATCAATAGCTTGTCGGGTTTGCCGAGCATGTGCAGGACATCTGAGCACCACATGGGCACAGTAGGTGTGGTGTATCCTGGATGGGTCAGTGGAACAGGCAGTATCTTGGCTTCACTCCAGCTGCCTGTCTG